TATATTTTTGAATATCGAATTAAATTTAACAAAAATCGGACTACTTTACTATATAGCTGCCATAGGAAAGACAGAAAAAATAATGTTAAAATAATAGAAAATTGAACATTTTTGCAAGGGTATTTAAGCTTTGGCTGGCCGAAGTTAGCTTCCTTTCCTGTTTTAAGAAAAATCTATCTACTCCCTATTAAAACCCTTTCTTTCTCCCCTGACAGCTGGGCATCCACGGCACCTGCCGCACCGAGTACTTTGTGTCCAACAGGACCAACTACATCTCCATCCGCAAGACGCCGGAGGTGAAGACCTGCAAGCCCTACTCGGAGGCGGTTCACATCACCAGGAGCAATGTGCCGCCGAATACGTGTGAGTTCGATCACCAGAAGAGTGTGATCATTGGCAACGAGGCCATTTATGGGATGTTGCCGCACAACGAGACGGGTTACTACTTCAGCGTGGCCCACGCCAAGGGCACCACTCTGATCCACACGTTCGAGTCGACGGGCGAGGCTCAGTTCATCAACTCGGAGCTGGTGCTCAATTTCCTTAACGAGACGCCCATCGACAATCCGATTGATATTGAAACATCCATGTCGGCCGAGTCCTCCACTCTGGCGCTACAGCCGCTGGATCCGAGTGATCCCACTGGCGGCCGAAGTCCGCAGCAGCAGGAGACACTGATGAACCAGGCGGGCACACTCCTGGACAGTCTGGCCGAGGGCCTCGAGACCACGGAGTTCAAGTTCTCCGAACCCTACGACTCCACGCTTTCCGACGTAATCAAGCTGCTCAGCGAGATGGACTTTGATTCGCTGAAGAAGCTTTACAGGGAGGTGGACATAGGCACCTCCTATCGCCAGGAAACCATACGCAACATCTTTCACGAAATCATTCCACGCATTGGAACCAAAGCCTCCGTTTTCCTCACCCACCACCTGGTGCTGAATAAGTTGACCAAGCCGCAAGTCGCTGTGCAATTGCTCATACCCATGCCCTTCCACATCTTCGAGCTTTCGGCGGAGCTGGTGCAAAAGTGCGAGGACTTCCTCAACATCGGACCGGGTCGACCGGAAGTGCGGCAGGCGGCCATCCTGAGCTTTGCCACCCTCGTCCACAATGTCTATGTGGCCAAGGGCATCGACAAGGATAAGTTCGAGGAGTACGTGCAGAAGTACTTTAATGCCTATCTGAGTAAGTGGTCTATGGTATTAATAACTTATTTTTTTGCATATTTTCGTAAAATGCATATGCATAAAATATGCAAAATATAAAATAAACTCAACTATTCAAGATTGACCATTCCATAGCCAACCTAATTTACCAGAAGAAAATTGTTTGTTACTTTTCGTTATTTCTGAGATATCTAATTTTTTCACAAAGGGCATAGGGGAACAAGCCTGGGAAAACTGCCCCAGGCGATATTGCAATATTTAATAGTAAAAGGGGCAGAATAGTTTTTAGCCCTATCGGCCAAACTGCTTGTATAAATTGCTTGCCGTGTTTACTGAAGGTTCCTTAGAATACCAGTTGTTCGCATATATTTAGCATATATTTTGCATATATATTGTATATTTTATGCATATATTTTTTGCAAATATTTTGCATATTTCCGATATGCATCCGAATTTATTAAATTTGAAAAATATGAATCCTAAATGGACAAATATGCAGCAAAATCCGAGGTCTATTAATAAGATTTCCATCTAATCCCTTACTGATTTCTCCCAGACGATCGCGACTTCGACCAGAAGATGCTGTACCTGCAGGGCTTGAACAACCTGCAGCTGGGCAACGTGGCCAACTATCTGGAGCCCATCGTTCAGGATCCCAACGAGCACGAGGACCTCAAGTTCCAGGCCGCCTGGACGACTTTGGCGCTGGCCGATCGCCGAGCGGAGCGCATCTATGAGGTCTACTGGCCCATCTTCGAGTCGCGCAACGCCAGTCTGGAGCTGCGTGTGGCCGCCGTTACCCTGCTGTTGATCTCCAATCCCACGGCTGCCCGGCTGATCAGCATCCATCGCATCATCCAGAGCGAGACGGACCCGCACATGATCAACTACTACAGGACGACGGTGACGAGCATCTCGGAGACCACGTATCCCTGCTATCAGCACCTGTAAGTTATCACTTACCCATGGAAATCCAAGTCTAATTCGCTTGTTCCTAGACGCCGCCTGCTGTCCTACATGCACCGTCATCTGCCCCAGAAGCCGGAGTCACGCTACTGGGTCACCGGCAACTACATCTTCGACTATCGCGACTCCAAGTTCGGAATCGGAGCGATGCTGCAGGTCTTCCTCGTCGGCGATCCCAAGTCGGATATGCCAGTGGTGGCCTTCTTCAAATTTGACACCGAGGCTCTCGGGAAGTTTACGGGTCAACTGGCGGTGAGTATTTACTCTTAAAAAGGGAGAAAACAACAGAATTAATATTTTGAATTGTTGTTCATGAACTAACTAAGTATTTTATAATTTTTTTAACAATAATTTTTATAAATATGTATGTACAAAAAAAGCATGTTACCGTAAAGTCGATATGGCCATGTAAAATTTATGCAAAACCCATATCGTTTTTACATGAAGTACTCCTTTCGACCAGGTCAAATTTGCCTGGCCACATATCAAATTTCATATCGATTTTTTTTTGGGTACATGAAGTATTCCTTTCGACCAGGTCGAATTTACCTGCCCACATATCAAATTAAAATTGATCTTAAATAATGTAAAATCGATCTACGTTTTATATCGATTGTTTTTGGTATAAAAAGGTTTAAAGACCAGTAAATTACATACATAATATAATAATATAATATAATATATAATATATAATATATAATATAATAATATAATAATTATATTCCAATACTCTATTCCAGCTGTACATTAAGGCACGTGGTTTGCCAGACACCATCCTAAACAAGATGCAGCCGCGAAATGCCAGCGATCCGTTTACCTTCAAGAGCATCAAGGCCCTGTTGGCCATGTTGCAGGCACCGATCATCAACTCCAAGGATCTGCACATTGAGTTCATCCTGCAAATGGAGGGCAAGACGGTGCTGTCGTACTACCTCAATCAACGCATGTTCCGCCAGCTGACCTACGAGAACAGTGAGTCTGGTTATTCCTCATTATAATCCAATGTTGAATTAACTTATGTACTTGTGATTTCCAAAGTTCTGGAACGACTGCAGCAGATCATCCGAACGGACAGTCACATCAACATGCAGACGGTGCGCTGGCCATTCATGAATCGCTACACGGTGCCCACTGTGCTGGGCACCTCCTCCGACGTCCTGCTGCAGACCACCGTGCTGACCTCGCTGCGTGGCAACATTACGGAGCAGCGCAGTTCGCCCATAACCAGGCACACGTTGGAGATCGACGCCCGCTACTCGTCGTACGCCTCGGTGCGCAGCCGCAGCTACAATCCGTTTCTGAACCTGGACCACGAGATCAACCGGGAGCAGGGCTTCCTCATCTACATTCCCTTCAGCAGCGAGTTGCATCTGAACGAGAGCGACACCAAGTGCAGGCGCTACTCCTTCTCGCGTCCGCAGAACCTGACCAGTGGCCTGTCCTTCAAGTCGCGAGCGGTGACCAAGACCAGGGGCCTAATAACCAAGACGGCGGCGGCGCCCTTCGAGGAGATCATGGTGCCCGAGAGCCGAAACGATGTGGTGAGTGTTTAAATTGAGATAAGAAACAATAATAGAGATTATTAATGATGACGAAATAATTGATAATATAGTTTCATGCGGAAATTTTAATGCTAGAAATATATTTTACGAGAAAAAGAGAAGTAATAAAGATTAAAAATAGAAAATAAAATTTATAGTCTCCTGCGGGAACTTTGATGCCAAAATATATTTCTCATGGGAATAATAGAGATTGAAAATAATTAAACTAGAATTGATTTATAGTTTCCTGTGGAAATTTTATAAATGATGAAGTAAAAATTAATAATACAGTTTACAGAAAAGTAATAAAGATTAAAAATAAGAAACTTAAATTAATTTTTAGTCTCCGGCGGGAACTTAAATGCCAGAAATATATTTCATGGGAATGACAAAAATTGAAAATAATGAAACTTGAATTGATTTATAGTTTCCTGTGAGAATTTTGATTCCACAAATACATACAATTATAAAAATAATCTATTCGTCATATTTAAATATAAAAACTTTTTATTAGGAGCTGATAAATATGATTTAAAGTAGCTAAATAAATAGTGAATTAACAAATAACTTAAACTACATTTTAGGTCCAACTCTTCAACTATTCCCTACCGGATCTGGGCGTCCGACTGGGCATGAACACGAATCTTAACGAGCTAATCAAGTACAGAGGGATGCTGCTCAAGTCCGAGTTTACAGAGAAGTACCCTTACCGACACAAATTCCCCTTTACTCCCGAACTAATCATAATTATAATTGCAGTGGCTTCTCCGGCAACGTGGTGGTCACCGCCTTGATGTACATATTTGGCTTCACCCAGCTGAGCTCCATTCACCTTGGCCACGATCGGAACTTTACGATGCTCATGTACAACGAGAAGACCACCAGGGTGAGAACTATAATTATATCTACTAGTATTTTAACTAATCTCATTAATTCTTTAAGATCGAAGGAAACTTTTGTGCCGAAGATGTGTTGAAAACGTCGGATTTGAAGGGCAAACAGATTGGCCTAACGCTGGAGCACACAGACCACGTGGACGAGACGCATATTGCGGATGGCACGCACAAACTGGATGCCCTACATCGGTGGAACATCACCCTGGACGTGCAGGCCTCGACCAAGTCCAACTGGTTCAAGTTGACCGGCCAGATTCAGCGGAATTCGAAGGATGACGAGGACGACTGGAAGGTGAGTGATTGTCTGGGACTACGGGACAAATTTATTTAACCAAAGATTATCGTCTGAGTCAGTATGTTTGAGTATTTTGTTTGGTGAAATGGTTTGCTTTTTAGGGCTGTCAAAATTCGGTAGTTCAATGTTGCTTCTTTTCTAACCCTCCTGTCCGGCGATTTCAAGCTCTTCCTCCGCGTTGATCAGCGCCACAACGCCGTCCTGCAGAGTCTTCACAAGCTCGAATTCGGTGAAGCCCAGTTTCCGCTTATTTGATATATCCATGACGCCATCCTCCACGGTGGCCAGTTCGCCGCCATCGGTGCCGCGTACTTGCAGTTGCAGCTCCTCGGCGAGTGCGATTAGACGGTCGGGATCCTTGCTGAGCAGCGGCAAACGAATATGCACCGAGGCACGCAGGGTGGTGCCCAAATTGGTGGGACAAGCAGTTAGGTTTCCGTACCGCGGATGCCGCGCAAAGGCCAGGGTCTTCTCCAGTTCAGTTAGCCCATTGACCAGGCGATTGTAGACATCACCCAGGTCGCCGCACTGAGCCATCGACATGATGTGCACATGGTCCTGACGATTCACCCAAACCAAGAAGGTCTCGGCGGGATTGTGATAGACACCGCGACCGGTGGGCCAGAATCGATAGCAGCCGGCGGTGGTCAGCTTCTCATCACCACGCTGAAAAAGTATATGTCGCTTGACCATCTCGGCCTGAGTTTCGGCATCTATATCAGCCATTGTCAAATAGGACCCAATCAGCTCGCCATCCATCGTCTCCGTGGCCGCACGCACCTTCTCCTCCACCTCGATGAACTGTTTCTCGGTGAGTTTGGGGAAGAAGGGCAGGCCCTCGATATTGCGGGCCAAACGAATGCGAGCGGATAGGATGTACTTGCGCTCCGGGTCCAGGTTCTCGATCTCGTCCACGTTGCCAAAGTCCGGATCCTTCTGCAGCACATCGTTCTCGTTGTCCATCTGGCCGTGATAGTCCTTGATGATCGGATCGAAGAGCTTGTTGAACACGTCGTAGCTGTCGGCATCCGCCGCATAGACGCCCACGGGCGCATCGTGGTGCTCGAATCCGGAAACGGCGCAATCGTACAGATAAGCGTCCACTGGCGCCGGCGTGGTGACCAGCATGTACTCCTCCAAAAGTTCCGGCGTTAGATATTTGCGCAGCATCGAGCTGACGTTCTCCTCGTCGTCCATAAGCGATTTGTAGCCTTCGGTGGTGAGCTCTTGGTACTCCTCCGGTGACTTTTTGCTGTTGGTTATTAGATACATTAGAGATTCATCCTTAAATCTTGGTTTTATATACTCACATTTGACCGCGTAGCCGTTCTAGTTCCTGCTCCAGCTTCGAGATGTGCGTCTTGGCCTCCTCCAGGTCGTTCTTCATCACATCGTACTGGGCGTCATCCGGGCAGCTCTCGCACATGAACTTGCGCACAAAGCGAATGGCATCCTCGGGCTTATTCTGCTCCTCGTACAGCTTGATCAGGGCCTTGCTCAAAGCATCGATGACTCCGGCACGCTCCAAATACTTGCGGTACTGCACGCGTTTCGATTCGATCTGGGGAACCACCAGAAGATATCCTTAGAATTTTATAAGTCTTTGGGTATTAGATCCCACTTACCGAAGTCATTGTGAAGTTTGTCCCAGCGCGATTCAAGTAAACATAAATTTATAAAAAGCAACGCAAACGTAAATGGTACTTGGTATTTTTAGAGATTTCTAGCGCGTTCTTACAAAACCAAAGAAAAATTGAATTTTTTTCCCAAAATTTGACGACAGGAGAAATTCGTCCGAACAGTAGCGTAACTGGCTGCCTTCTACTGAGCTCCCTCGGAGACGTATTGATCAAACGGGGCGACTTACGCCGCCAGGCCTGCCTATCCGGTTGCCACTCGGTTGACTCGGCTCTCGCAAACAACCCACGAAATGTGGGCCAACAATTGCGGCAACTGCTCGAGTGGTTGGTGGGTGGTTGGGTTTTCGTTTCGGCCCGGGTAATAAAGTGGCACGCAGGAAGGGGGCGGCGTACAGTCAGTCAGGATGTGTGTAGGCCCGCTAATCGTTGCCGCAGTTGTTGTGGCTCTGTTGTCTGCTCTTTCGTCATGGTAATGTTTCCCATTCCACTCGGTTGGCGCATGGAGCCTCCAGTGAACAGCTGGACCCACATTGTCTTATGGACAGCAGTGTGTAGCCACAGAAAACATTACAGGGTGTCACGCCCGCCGCCCAATGAGGGCACTTGACTCGGGCCGAGACTCAAGTTGACTCAAGTATATAAGGGACTAGACAGCTGGGGTTAGGAAAATAGAGGCAATTATACATCCAGACCCTTTTAAAGGTCGAATGAATGCTTAAATTATCTTTTTAAAAATGTTTAACTGATTTTTAGAACTAATCTTACTGTTTTTTAAGACATACTATTCTTAAAAACAATTATTTAGAATAATTTCTTAAGGCCAATCCATCTTTTAAACGTATATTTAAAAATGCAGACCCTTCCAAGGTCAAAGCATTGATTCAATTTCTTTATAAAAATGTTAAACAGATTTTTAGAACTAAAATAACTATTTTTTAATATATACTATCCTTAAAAACAATTATTTATAATATGTTCTAATGGCAAATACATCTTTTAAAGTCTATTTAAAGTTAATTAGATTTTTTAAGAGAAACATAAAGGCTTTGCACTTACCGCCACTGTAATTTGTAACACATTTGCATTTTTTCCTCAGGCCTGTACCAGGTTAACCTATGAACCACTGGTGTTCACCAGGCGGCCCCACTCTCTGAATGGCAATGTGGTGTTCGGCTTGGCCACAGAGGAGGGCGAGTGCCCGGAGAAGGGTTCCACGGTGCTGTTTGCAGCCAGAGCAGGTGTAAGTGTGAAATGCTACGGCTGCCAACAAAGTGGATTCCTATTAAATTCTCCTGATTACAGCCCTCGGAGCACGCCCGTGCCTTCCTGCGCTCCGACAAGATCTCGCTGACGGACACCGACTTCTGTCCCAAGGAGGTGCTTAAGTTCTCGCCCATTCCCACGTCAAGGTATTGCAAGCGCAGCAACTTTGAGAACTTTACATCGATCACACAGTACGACATGGACCTGAAATTTAATAATGTAAGTAAAAGAGATTTTATATTAGAAATTAATAATTATTTAAAGTTCCTATCTGTGCCTTTCCTTAAAAGATCTATTCAAAGACTTATAAACTAACCCTTATCTGTTTTAATTTGAATTTTAATAATGTAAAAACAATAGATTATATTAAAAACTACTAAATACTTAAAGTTCCTAACATTGTTTATCCTTAAAAGATCTTTTCTAAGACTAATAAACTCACCCTCATCCTTTTTAGATGCCCGCCTGGTTTGAGCTGTGGTCCAACCGCCTAGACCACCTGGTCTCCGCCTTATCCGCCGACAAAGTGGACAGTTTGCACATGAGTCAGGAGATCAACATCTCCATGCACACGCCGCAAGACCAATTTAGGTTAGCGGTGGACGTCAACGGGGTCAAGTGGCGGTTCCACCAGATTCCCTTCTTGTACAAACTGGACTCCAAGTTCGACGCCTCCCAGGAACTCACCTACGACACGGGACTCAAACGTTCCTGCTCGGTAATCAATGGTATGGTCAATACCTTCGACGATCACTTGGCCAATCTCCGAGAGATTGCTGTGCGTCCAGATTGCTTCACCCTGCTGGTGGCCGATTGTTCGCCGCTGCCCCAGATCGCCGTCTTCGTAACGCCATCGACTGTCCAAGGAGTTGAGAGCAACTACGGGCTGCGCGTTCACATCGGGCAGAACTACTTCAATTTCCCCGCCCGCAAGGACAATAGCAGACAGCCCACGGATGAGCCGGTGATCATCTATCTCAACCAGGATCAAACGCCGCACGATGTGCGCCAAAAGCCCTACCAGTGGCCCCTCGATGCTAGCGACTTCGACTTCCGGTAGGCTAAGATGAGTTATTATGTGAGTTTTATAAACCTATTCAAATCGTTACATTTCCCTTTGCAGCGTGGAGCTAAACGAGCAAAACATTTTGATTGTGGAGTGCACGCAGCTGGCCTCCACCATCCAGTTCGATCTTTACAACATCCTAAACTTTGAGATCTACGGCGTGTACAAACACCAGATGTGTGGGCTGTGCAGCAATCCCCTCAACCGCATGCAGAACTACACGATCTGCGAGCTGGAGACGAGCTCTCCGACTCCCGTTCCTCTGCCCAATTCTTCCGACGTAGTTGTAGTTTGCATAAATATAATGTGAGAGTTTAATCTAAAATAAAAGAGAAAATGAGCCCAGAAAAGGGAGAACATGCAAATCCCCAGGGCTTGAATTTTTAAAACTGTAAGTTTTAATAGTAAATTGCTTGGCATTAAGGCGTTATATCTACCTAAATCCACGGGGTTCAGGGGGTCCAGCCACTTTATATTAATTTACTGAGATGTATCCCTATATATTTTAATGATATGATAATATACATAACAAAAATTATAACTGAAGGTTTCAAATTGCAATTACGCGAAGTGAGATCATTTTATATGACATAGAAAAAGGTTTAATCAACATTCTTTTGACGAATTAAATGTTTCTTATGTTGTGTCAAAATAATAAAAAAAAAAGTAACCATATTTTTTCGGAAATAATATTAAGATTTTCGTCTTAATTGAGATAACTATTTTTACTTCTGATGATAGTCGATTTGCTTTTCGCGATCGCGATGCAATTGAGTGAGGAGATGCATACGTAGCTGGGGAACAGACTCCAACAACTGGTTGCATAGTTTGCAGGTCATTGGAGCTAAAACTCCTTCGCTGGAATTGTAAATAAAATTATAAATAAATAGGACAATGATTATTTTAAATTAATGTTGACTCTTACAAGTTGCGCCACTCGTACAGCTTATTGCAGTTCTCCACCAACTGCAACAAATGACCCATGTCCTCCTCTTGTAGCTCGGTAATACTGTGCATGGGGAATATGGCTCGTTTGCCGAACGGCTCAGCCTGCTTAGGCACATCGTCAGTTTTTTCCCATTCGTAATCGGAGTTGCTGGAATTAACCTCGATATAACTACGATCCTTGGACAGCAGTCTAAAGAATAGTTTAAAGTGTGTTAATTTAATAAGTAACATAACTCTAGGTTTCACAATCCTACCGATTCATCATGCTCCTTAGCTGAGTATATATAGAAACGCGTTCGTTAACACTAACAGCTGGATAATTTTCGTCCTTAAAGTTGAAAAAGACACTATCTATATTGTAGCGCATTTGATTGATCTGAAATCAAAAAAAATGTATTACAATGTTGCACTCATTCCATGAAGCGAAGCATCCTTACCAGGCTAAGATCATCTTCCAGTATATTGACGTCCAAATTAATCACCATATCGTGCTCTTCGTAATACGGCTCATTGGTCACTGGATCGCAACCCATTCCCGCCAAGATGGACACATACTTGGTGCCAGCTTTATTGCATTTGATCTGCATGGTAGGACAGAAGAGCATAGCCATCAGGGCCCCAAATCCGTGTATATTGGGCATCAGTGTGGTTCCGCGAGCAGTGAGAATCTGCCCATCGGCACTCTCCACCGTCGTGTGGGCCACAATCATCTGATCGTGCTGATCCTGCGGATCTGAGTCGAGCAGAACCGCATTAACCGATGCATTATCTATTTTCACCGACTTCCAAACACCCACACGAATGGTGGAGTACATGTTCGACTCCAGCGGACTGTAGGGTCCCTTCAGCATCACCACAGTGTTGCACTTATCCAATGGAGGAGGTGGCAGGTCCTGATCCTGTAGCAGCTGGCAGGATCGCAGGTACTCCTCATTGATTTGCTGACGCTCCGCCGAGGTTGTGTAGCGGGCGGTTTCTTGTCTGCGCAAGCGGAAGTCATGATCCTGGCGAGACATGAAATCTTCGTCGGCCCGGCGAGCCAACTTGAGCTCCACAAGCTTCTCGTTGAGCAAACCATCGCGCATGTGAATCAAAACAGCAGCAACATTGTTGAACAACGAATACACCTCAATATCAATGCGACCGCATTTGGCCATCGCCTTAAGCTTATCATTGGCCGCCGCGGGCCATCGGTTATTGGCGCTGACCACCATCGATGGCTGAACCAGCGCCAGCCGGCATTCAAACACACGTGGTGGCAGATCGCCGTACTGCGCCACCAGCTCATCCGGCATCAGACGCAGCTGCTCCATGGGCAGCAGCGCACAGTCTCCGTAGTCAATGAAGCGAACATAGAACATCGGCTGGCGATTGCTTTGGTTCTCGGGACGGATCACTGTGGCGCGCTGGAATTGACTATCCCGCTTGGCCAGCACCATCATGCCCTTGGTGATGGCCCCTGCGTTTAGGACATGATTACGCAGCTGCTGTGAGGCATTGAAGATCTCCGACATGTTGCGAATGCACTCGGCAAAGGACTGCGGCTGGAAGTAAAACTTGCCGCAGCTGACAATCTGTAAAGGGATAGAAACGGAAACTAAGAATATGAATAGAGTTTAAGGCTAAACCAACTTACACAAGTTATCAAACCCGTAATAGTCTTCTCGTAAACAGAGGGCAAGGCAAGCAGCTCTACATTTGTCGCTTTTGCGGGTGGAACCCAACGACCCTCAATCACCTCCCCTATTTTTTGCCTCTGTACGTAGTTCAAAAAAGGGATTTGACTAAAATGTATAGAAATAAAATCACAATTAGACATTATAATCCCTAAAAACAAGTGTAGACTACTCACTCCATTATCCTTATAGGACGTTGCAAGCGGTCAACTCTCATCCTGACCGCCTTGTAGACCTCACTTGCGATCCTGCCCGAAACATTGACCAGACTGGAGCTATCTGCATTGCAATCGTCGTGCCGGAATGTAACGAATACCTTCTGAGAGCCGTGCTGAAAGGTCACTTCGATGTTCTCTGGCGGGATCTTGGCCTCGCGAAAGAGTTCCTTGATGCGCCTGGTGTACAGCTCGCCCATGTAGCCCGGTTTGTAGTTGGTGAAATAGACGGTGCGACAGGGATCGTGGCCCGATATCACCTGGTACATATCCCGTTCCGGCTCCACACACACCCCCTTCGAGCGCATAAAGTAATTCGGATAGAAAGCTCCAGCGATGATCACCTTGAGTATAATTGATTTCTCTCGGTCGCCCATCCGCTGGCTCGGATCAACTGTAAACGGAATCAGGCCGAGATTTGTGCATCGCGTGCGTAGTTCCTGCACCAGCAGATGCATTTCCTTGAGCGAACGCAAGGAAACGTGGAAACGCTTCGCCCAGCGAATAGCAGATTCCTGCTCGTGGCCAACTTCCACCATGTTTAGGTAGGTCTAAAGGATCAGATTATTATTACTAGGTTAAATATAATGCATTAATTCCACAACTAACCAGATAAACGCGCCAAATGGCCACCAAGTCGGAGCCCGAGCCATCGGCAAAGATATAGTGCATCCAAAATGAGTCGCCTCCTTGATTCCTCGCACCTTCGTTTACATACAAGCCACGCATCGAGAGGCCAGCAGCTATGATAATCACTTCCTCGAGCAGGTTGAACACATAGCCCAGAATGATGAGACGGGAGAGACGAGTGTCCAACGGCAGCCGAGACATGATGGTCCCCCAGTAGGTAATATCGCCATCCAGCTCGTTGTAGACACCGTCTACTGTGAGGAAGAGGGCACCCACCTCCTTCAGCAGCAATATAGTGTTTTTTACGTCCGACAGATTCGGTGGAGAAAGAGCCAGGGCCAATATATCAACAGGAGAGTCCATTTCCAGTTCTTTGGCCCTGAGCACAGAGTTTTGCAAAGGTAAACGCAACATTTCTGGTATGCCAAACTCAGACATTCCCATTTGGTAAAAGGATTTGGTGACCATCCGGTAGACACGTCCACTGCGCAGACGACCAACACGCCCGGCACGCTGGCGACAATTGGCCTTGGAGGCCCAAGTCAGACGCAGAGAGGTGAAACTGGTGGCCGTATCGGTGACCAGCACTTTGGTGAGACAGAAATCAATGACGTAGGACACATCCGGCACCGTGATGGAGCTCTCGGCGATGTTGGTGGTCAGGATGATCTTGCGGTAGCCAGGAGGCGGCGGCTGGAACACATCCCGCTGATTCTCGGGGGTCATCAGCGAGAAGCAGCGTACAATGAAGACCTTAATGTTTCGACTGTAATGAAATACAAAAATTTAAAGGATAAAATAAGGATATACAAATTAGAGCCCTGCGTGAATCATTTAATTTTTGTTTTATCATAATTTAATTAAATTCTATGTGAAATAAATTAAATGTTTTTCTAATTCATTTCGAATTGAACAGAATAATTTCTATGAATTTTTTGAATTTGCCAGATGTTTTATGTGCTTTCTTTTGAGGAAAAAAAGTGGAAAATTTTTAACAAATCAATGTTAACTGCATAGTAAATAAAATTCAGGCAGATGTAATCACAAAATTATGGCTCTTTCTTCTTCAAAAGAAATGTCGTTTGAATTATTTCGGAATTTATGCCATTCATTCATTCAATTCTATTAAACTCAAAATTCGAATAAATTCATTCATATAAAACAAAAAATTCAAAATAATTCATTGAATCCATTCATGCTGGGCTCCAATAAAAATTAAAGCTTACTCATCGTTCAGCATAGAAGTAATGTTCTGTGCCATGTTGTCAATTTCGTAGACGCCGGGCAGAAAGATGAGCACAGCTCCATGGCGCAGGGCCTCGTCGTAGCTCAGCCGCGACTGGATGCCGCCCTCCCGTTCCATGTTGTCAATGACCATAATGATCTTTACGGCCGCCCTGTAGCCGTCGTCGTTGATGCGTGGAATGAACTGATCCTGGTCGGGATCATCCTTCCACTTGATACTGGTCAGTTGGTCGCGGTAGAACTTCTCGATCGAGTATTTACGCCCATGACTGGCGGTGATCACCGGCGGAATCGAGGTGTCGGTGGAAAAATAGTCCGACAGTTCCCTCGCATCGATGGTGGCCGACATCAGGATGACCTTTACATGCCGCGAGTTGGTGGCCAGCAGGCGACGGACAACGATCAGCAGAAAGTCCATGTCCTGGTCTCGTTCGTGCACCTCGTCCAGCACGATGTGGGTGTATTGGGTCAGCGTCTTGTTGCGTATCAGGTTGTTCAGCAGCACACCGGTGGTGCAGTACAGCAAACGAGTGTCCTCCAGAGTCGTCGGACGGTGCAGGCCCACCTGGTAGCTGCACACGGTGTCCTGCTGCCATTGGCGCTCCTGGCACACTCTATTGGCTATCGAAATGGCAGCTATGCGCCGCGGTTGGGTGACCACAATGTTGCAGTATTGGCCGCTCTTGAAGCCCTCGTCCAAAATGTACTGGGGCACCTGTAGGGTAAAAAGAAATTTGATTCAGTTTACCATTTGGGTAATTAGTATTATTAAGAAATATTTGGATTTAAAGCTGCGGTATTAGCTTAAGAATGAAGATATATTATTATATTTATTTTCGTATTCTGGTCCGCATATTAAATTTAAAGTAGGCTTTATACTCTAAATTACCAATTTTTTGTTAAGGTTTAATCCTTACTTCAAATTGATCATGTTAAATTAAAAATAGGCTTTTAACTCTGAATTTACAAATTAAACATGTTTAAAAAAGTAGGTTTTAAACTCTAAATTCCTATACGTTTTCAAAGTTTGATCCACACTTTAAAATTAATATGAGGTCGAGAAACCAGTTATTTTTTTTAATTCTACAAAGATAACCTTTTATATAACTGATTTTTATATAATAAAAACATTTATTTTTTATCGAAAAACGATTTCTAGAAAATACAATTTTCAGATCCGTTTAAAACCTTGCAATCGTATGGGAAATCTTGGTTTTAACCTTACTTTAAATTTAACAAACGGACGAGAACTCGGCCCTTAGAAATTTAAAAATACCCGTTTGAAGTTTTTTAAATATTTTTAAAAATTATTAACACTAGACCAAAGACTTATCGATAAATTCTTGATAGTGCTGTAAAACACTTGAACCGGCTTATTTGTTTACATTTTCAGACCTGCTTCTGCTTGGATTTGTTTGGATCTCGAAATGCAAACTAAATTCGAGTAAATCGGACCCCCGAATGGAGTTGAACATCTTCGACGACTGCTGGGAGCTGGTGCAGCGATTCCAGCGATTGGTCAGCGATGGCGAGAGCTGCGAGTTCGAGTCGTTCTGCCGGTGCTGGCGGGAAATGCAGCTGCAGCACCTCTTCACCGGCCAGTCGAACCACAACGAGGTGATAGCCACCACTTTGGCGGCCCTGCACGTGGCCAAGCGGCTCTCCTGCTCCCGCCGCACCACCGGCGACATCTTCCCGGCCTCCCGCGCCCACAGGATCGCTGGTTTCTATCTGCTGTACGTGATCTACTACAAGCAGCCCACCCACAACTATGTCAAGATCGAGGTCTCACCGCGCACCTGGCGGGAACTGACCGACTACGCGCTGCAGCTGCGCGAGGAGAGTCCGGAGAGAAAGGATACCCAGCAGGTGGCCTACATGCTGTGGCGCCTCGTCCAGGAGCAGGCCTTCCGCCACACGGCGCTGGACTACTGCCAGGGATTGGACAACCTGGTGGACTACGACCGGCTGGAGATTGTGGCGGGTGCCAAGAGGCAGAGGCAAAATGCCTTGGCGCAGAAGCAGCAGCGTCCCAATAACGTCAGTCTCACCTACGAACTGGAGGGCCTGCGCACCCTGGACCTCGCCAGTCAGCCCCTCTGCGATCTGGAGGCGGCTTACAATGCCCAGAAGGCGCAGCTGGCTGGTCAGGAACAGGCTCTGCCGCCCACTCAAATATTTGGCCAACTGCGCGAGGTCTTTGCCGAAATTCAAAGTGTACTGGGAGCCAAAAAGAATCCTGGAACGGAGGAGGATCAAGCCACAACTTCTGCCACCAACCAATTGGAGGTGCGTCAGAGGGTGCGAAACAAGGCCATGTTCGGCGTTGAGAAAAGGGAGCCGCAGGAACAGGCGGAGGAGCTGGAAGTTGAGCTGGAGGTCAACGAGTCGTATCAGCGGAGGATGTCGTCGGCCACCGTGTTCCAGCAGCAACTGCCAGAGGATGTGCAGCGGGAGTATGAGGATAACTATGACTACAGTGACGAGGACGAGGAAGAGGAGGCGGAGGCAGAGGAAAGTGAGGTAACCGAGGAAGAAGTTCAGGAACTACTGGGCTCTTAAGTTAGAATTTATGAAACAACTGAAATTTGATGTGTGAGAATATTTTTGTTTAAATAAAAGTTACTTTAATATTAAAAAGGATTAAAATATAAATTATTGGATAACCCTAAAAAAGAGCCGAAAATATTAAACTCATTGCAACTTCAGACTGACAGCAGATTCCCCTGTTTTGAGGTGAAATATGTTGAAACTTTACATTTTCTATCTACTATTTTTAATTTTCCTATGTCTTTTTAACCAATTTTTGTTTTAAAAATATAACAAGTTTTGAGAACATCAGTCATTGTCACTCATAAGCCTTGTTTTCTAGTTGTGTTTTTGCTAACCTTGTTGTTTCCTAAGATTTAAGTGGTTTATATACATTAAAATGTATATACAACGGGCGTATTGAAAGATATGCTTTTTTGGAACATCCTATTTAAAAATCAAATTTAAAACAAATGGATGACATTTAGGGCCATTTTCTCGCCCTATTGTTAAATTTAAAGTGGGGCTTAAACCGTGAAATCGTATGGGAAATCAGAGATTAAAGCTTTCTTTAATTTTAACAGCGGATGAGAAAACGGTCGTAAAAATTTGTTTCATTTTGTAGGTTAGAAGTTGTCGTTTTGTTGATCATTTTGAGGTTATGAAACCCGCGACAGTGTGGCAACGCTCACCTGCGTGGTCTTGCCACATCCTGTTTCGCCCTTGAGAATTACGACTGGATTCGCTTTGATGGCCGCCAAGATCTCCTCCCGCTTAGCGTAGATCGGCAGATTACGATCGCGATTCAGATTGAATCTGTACTTCTTGTAGTACTCATCATCCCGCCGGATTTCGGACTCGTCCTCCTCGTCGTCGGTGTCCAAGTCATTCAGCGTGCGATTCCGCTTGCTTTCGGGGCAATCGTCGCGCAGCGTCTGCATCGAATTACGAGTAAATAAACAAATAGTGCCGACGCAGCAGTTTGGTTTAGTTTAGTTTTCTTACCCCATTCAGACGAAGCTTTTCCTTCGCCACGATTTCGTTTACATATTCGGTGCCGATCACCTCGCGCTTCACCACCTTCGAATCGACGGCCTCCTCGGCCATGATGCTCGGATCGCGGCTAATGTAGCCCTGCGGGGCCGGCCTGCGCTTGAATTCCTTCGAAAAATCGAAGAAATCCATCAGCTCCTGGTCCATTTCCATTATTTTTCTTCGAAAAAACGCGGAACGTAAAAAATTTCACAATCCCGCGTAGCGTCTAAAATTAAACGGTAAATTGTAGTGGTGGGACTTTTGGCCTCAACGGTGGGAGCTTGTCATAGCCGATTGATATCGATAGTTGTTTAATCGGTACCCTAAGCTTTATATTTGGAGTATTCCTAGGGGGATTCCCTAAACTGTTGAATTGCTGAATTGTTGAATTTTGGTCAGCTGTTAATCAGCTGTTCCATACAAAGTCAACTTTCAGAAATTTCAGCAATTAACAGCCTCGGGGCTGATGAAAATTTTGTTGAATTGCTGAAAAGCCGAGTTGTCACCTTTTTTAAAGTCGTGGCAACTCTGTAACATTTTAGTATCACCAGTACGCATTGTTTATTTTAAAATCAACTTAGAAAGCATATTTGTGGTTCTTTTACCTTGGTAACACTTTTAGAGAGTAACTAGCAATAATAAATCAAATTTTACATGCTTTAAGTTCCGTGAAATTTTTCAACAAATAACAGCTGTTTGAAAATTCAACAGGAACCATTTTGGGTCGTTCCCTTATTGCTGAAATTTTTGTTGAATTTTCAACAATTCAGCAATTCAACAGTTTGGGTCCCCCTCCTATTACAACAAACTGTCAAATTAATTTATTTTTTGTAAGTTATATTTTTTTTTGTATTTCTTAAGATTTAAATTCCTGTATTTATCTTTTTAAATTAAATTTAAATGAACATTAAATATGTATAAACAACGATATTATCGAATATAGTGTGGCTGACAATTACAATAAGATGTCAAAGTAAATTATTTTTTTTAAGTTATATTTTTTTATATATTTTAAGACCTAATTATAATTGAATTAAAATTAGATATGTATAAAAAACGATGTTATCGAATATTGTGTGGGGGACTATTTAACGTATCGAATAAGCCGACTATCGAAAACTGACCATCTCTAATTTGTTCGGTCAAATTCAATAGCAAAACAACTTTTTGGCAATTTTAGTTTATTTTGGGCCGCAAACATGTCGCTAACAATGCGAATTTTCACCGCATCGCGCAATGGTAGGTCGTTGATCAAACCGCTTCACCTATTTCCCACTCGATGAGAGAAAAACCCGTGAAAAATGCATAAAAATTGCGCCCAGTGAGGTTATGTAAGCTTATGTCATAGCAAAACAAAGGACTAAATGGGCTTTTTTGAGGATAATATTTAGTTAAGAGGCTGTAAATTAATAGTGTTATTACCTCCCCCACAGGTCAGCGCATGTTTGGCAGCCAGGGCGCCCGTCTGCTGGCCGCCCAGCGCACGGAACCCAAAGACATTGTCGCGGTGCCCAAGGGCTATGTGTATGTAAACAACAAGGAGCTGAGCATGGAGTTTGCAGACATCACGGATCGCGCCGCCTCCACCATGTTCTTTGGCGAACTCTTCCGCGGATTCGCCGTCACGCTGGCGCACATCTTCAAGGAGCCGGCCACCATCAACTATCCGTTCGAGAAGGGACCGCTGAGCCCGCGATTCCGCGGAGAACACGCCCTGCGTCGCTATCCCAGCGGCGAGGAGCGCTGCATCGCCTGCAAGCTGTGCGAGGCCATCTGCCCCGCCCAGGCGATCACCATCGAGGCGGAGGAGCGTGCCGATGGCAGCAGACGCACCACGCGCTACGACATCGACATGACCAAGTGCATCTACTGCGGATTCTGTCAGGTGGGGTGGTTATTTCCCCTCTTCTAGTTACCAGCGACTAATATTTGATATTTATGTATACCCAACAGGAGGCCTGTCCCGTCGACGCCATCGTCGAGGGACCCAACTTCGAGTTCTCCACCGAGACGCACGAGGAGCTGCTCTACAACAAGGAGAAGCTGCTCTGCAACGGCGACAAGTGGGAGTCGGAGATTGCCTCCAACCTTCAGGCCGATCATCTCTATCGTTAAACTTGCTTGTACCCCCTAGATTTCCTTGTTTAGTGCGATTTTCCAATTAAAGATCGCTGCTGCGGTGGCTGCGTCTTAAGCGATTGTCTAGTTATGTTCAGATTTGCAGAGGATCAGGCAGATTACACATGGATTATTTATTAATGAAACGATTTAACTGATAGTAGACACTATGATGAAAAAACTATTAAAACAAAAGTTTATTTAATAAACTTTCTTATAATCAGTGATTAGTTGATATTTGAATTTGTCCAATTTTGATTATTGTTGTAAGCAGATAAGAAGAGGATCAGGCGGAATACACATGAATTGTTTATTAATAAAACGATTTAACTGATAATAGACAGAGGTTGGATTAAATTAGTCATATTCAACTCCATTTCTGTACTAAAAAGTTTATTTAATAAACTTTTAAATATTCAGTGATTAGTTGACATCTACATTTTTTCCAATTTTGATTATTATTACATATTTTAAACGGTAGTTCTAGTTGTAAAAACAAAGACAGCAAGTCTAAAGGATTGAAATAATTTAAAATAATTAATCAGTAGTGACAATTTGGCAGTGACACTGAAAAATAGGATTCCTTTAACAGGTAAATCCAAATTTTAAGGCGTCTTAAGCGATTTTCTTGTTGTATGCGGATTACACATGGATTATTTATTAAAGAAACGATTTAACTGATATCTTATTAGTTATCTTTGACAAAAGTTTCAGGTTGGAATAAATTAGTCATGTAAAACTATTCAAAGAATTTAATTTCTTTACTAATAAGTTTATTTAATAAACTTTTCAATATTCAGCGATTAGTTGATACTTGAATTTTCTCCAATTTTGATTATTATTACATATTTTAAACGGTAGTTCTAGTTGTAAAAACAAATAACGTAGTTTATTCAAGACAGCAAGTCTAATTGATTGAAATAATTTAAAATAATTTGGCAGTGACACTCAAAAATAGGATCCCTTTAGCGATTAGAGTCCAGTTTTAAAGCATTTGCACAGGTCGTAGAAGGTATTTTATTGTCCTGGCCCCGCCAGGCTCTTCTCCATGAACTTCTTTTTGGCGAAGCAGGTCCACCATTTGTTGGGTTTCCCGTCCTCGGTGCTGAAGACCTTCTCCACCACCCGGTTCCCGGTTTCGTGGCGCAGCTGCAGGAGATATTGGCGCATGAGGTCCGCATCCTGGGCGGTTTGCGGCTTGGCATAGACGGCGTTCAAAGGGAAACCAGCATCGCCGGGAATGTCGAATTTGGAGATGGCCAAACTGTACATATCCTGCTGCCCCTGAGCCTTGCTGGTCGATCGATTGAGCTTCTTCAGGCACTCGGTGATGTAGAGGGTCACATAGATGAGCACGCGATCCACATCGGACTGGAAAGGATATAAGGAAATACTTGATATATCCTTAGTTATCCTGGAAACCCCGAACCCACCTTGATTTCGTAGGTGCGAAAGAAGACGTTCGCCTTTGAAGAAGTACAGTGACTCATCGATGATGTCGCTCTCCACATTCGCACTGGGCGCTGGTCCGCGCACCTGGGTCCTCAGCGGCAGGATGGCCATGTTGCCCACCTGCTGGCGCACCTCCTTAATTTGTGAATGGTAGGCCTGAAAATATATTAAGATTATAATCATTTGGTTCATAGAAAACTGCTACCTGGCAGGGGGTCTCAAAGAACAGGTCAAAAACCAAGGAAATCACCTGGTTTCCGTTTCACCCGACTCTGATTTGTAAAGATTTACTCACCGGCATGTTTTACTGTATAATAAATCAGTTATTAATTAACGTTTTTCCAGTTATTTCGGGTTTTTTCTATAAAAAAAGAAAACAATTGTAGGCGTCCACTGTTTAATGGTTTATCGATAACCCCGATAAGTCATGACCTTATTTTAGTATTTTTTTGCGGCCAATGGTCACATTTTTTTCCAAAGAGGCGGCAATTTTTAAAAATGTCATTTCTCATTTGCTTTTCCTGTCAGAATTAAAAGTTAAAAATTTTCGATGCGTGCGTGCCCTTCAAAAGAATTAACTTTGCATTTAGACCCCTCCATCTATGGATCAGAGTAAAAATTTCCTGCAGAACGTGGCCAACATCGCTGGCCAACTGAATCTCAGTGAATTGGAAAGATCCGCCATGGCCTACAAGCGACTGTGTCTGGAATTGGAATCGCTGAGCAATCCGGCGACTCCAGCCGAAGATTCTCCTTCTTCATCTCCTCCGGCGGCTGCGGTCGCCACTCAGGGACTCCGAGCAAGTGCCTCGGAATTTGTGCCCCAAGTGCCGCACGGCAGCGAACCAATTCCGAACGACGTGGAGGAGGAAGAGGATGAGTACTCTGCGGATGAGGATGGCTACGATGTGGAGCGGACCATGAGAGCTGTAAGTATGAAAACCATTTAAGTGGGTTTGTATTATTTTATGAAATTACATTTTTATCAGGACCTCAATCTTATTAAAAATCCTATATGAAACGTAGTTCGATTTTACATGCGGCCAGGTAAATTTGAACTAGTCGAACAGAGTATTTCAGGTAAAAACGATATGGGTTTTACATGGCCATATCGATTTTACGGGAACATGCTTTTTTTGTGTGTAGGATTATATTTCCAAAGTAGAAATTACACCTTTAATTTGGAATTCGAAAATTAAAAATAGATTTTTTTAGTAATTATTTTTAGCTTAATATTTATTTAATGTTAATAATATATTAAATTCTTTTCATACCAAATCCCTTTTCTCAAGCCCAAGCCCGCAATCTATGGCTTGCGTTTCTATAATCACCATTACGAGACCGAGGATGTGAGCGAAAATCACTTGGAGGCGGAAAGGAAGCGGAAGTTCGGTTATAGAGCACCCAAGTTTCGGCCAAACCAACCGAATGGGCGGTCATTAAAGACGGAAACGGGATCCATTTCTTCGGCTAAGCCGCCCACCGAATTGGCCAAAGGACAGCCGCATTTCAAAGGACCCTATATGCCGCTGCTGCAGCACAGGATTAACAATGCCGAGGCCTACGGACTCATCCGGGGTCCCAATGAGAGAAACAGCCTGCTTTTGGAAGACATGGTCAAGCAGTTGGCTCGCCTGGACAAATGTCCCTTCAATCTCAATACGCTTTTCCGTGGAAAAGGTCCGCAGAACTCCCCATCTTAGATGCCTTATTATAATCTATTAAATTGTAAAATATTTCTTATAAAAGAAGGCGCTGACTTGGCATTCGATTTGCTATTCAGTTCTATCAGTTGTTGAATCTCAGTCGTTTTTCAGCAGAGAAAACTAAAAATGGTGAAGAAAAATAAATACAAATCGTTGGCAAACCAAAAGAAAGTGCCCGTCGTAAGTTTATGGAATTGGTAGGGGTTTGTAAAACAACGTTTTCTTTATAGACTGATGCCAAAAAGGAGCCCGAAACTCCTCGTAAGAAGGCTCCAAAGGTGGATAAAGAGAAATGCGCTAAGCCGGAACCGAAACCCTTGGAACCGTTGAGTCTGGAGAAGACCAAGAAGCACCTGGATCAAATGTCTGCCCTGGCCACCATGCCACTGCGTTTGGATCACCAGATTCAGTGCATCAAGGTTCTGCAGCAGCAGCTCTTCAAGCTTCACCTCCAGCAGGTCATCCTCCTCGATGGCTGTACCGATTTCCTCCAGGAACTGAACACCATTCAGCCGACTAATGTCCTTGAGGAGCAGCGTATCCTGGACACTTTCAACGAGGTTAAGAGCAAGTTATCCGAGGTTTTCGAGCACTTTTTGCCCGCTCAGTTGGATATGCTGAAGCACGAAACGAAGATCTTGCAGGTCTCTGAGCAGTTGATGTCCAAATAATTTGATAGTCTTCTAGATTTTATAGCGAAAATCTAATAAAAATCAAAGGAAGAGATCGTAATAATAGAAATATTTTTGTTTTTATAAAATCTTAAAGTTAGGATTACCAATATTTAAGTAGCTTGACAAAAATCAAATGCAAATCTAAAGAAGGGATCATAATAACGAAATATACTTATCAAGAGATCATATTAATAGAAATATTCTTGTATTTATAAAATCTTAGAGTTGGGATTACCAATATTTAAGTAGCTTAACAAAAATCAAATACAAATCTAAAGAGATTATAATAACATAATAAATATTCTTATATTTATAAAATCTTAAAGTTAGGATTACCTATATTTAAGTAGCTTAAAAAACCGTTAACCAATCAAGTTAATCGATTGCTTAACCAAGGCTTAATCGCCTATCGATAGCTACTTGCGTCTATCGTAGTTCCACAACTATTTAAAATTGCAATTTATTCCGCACTAAAATGAATCCACCGCCTTCCCGTGGGCGCGCCCCCTCCCGCTTCGTGCGTGGGCGTGGCCGTGGAGGCGGGGCCTACCGCCCGTACTTCTACTTCCGGCGCAATGGACGCGTGATTCCCGCCCGCGGCAATCGGCCACCAAATCAGGAGGAATCTGGAGCCAGAGGAACTGCAGCAGCCGATCCCCCAGCAAACCGGCAGCCCAGAGGCTGGGGTCGCACCGCCAGCAAGCGGGGAAGAGATAACCACATGGACTGCAGCTTCCTGCGGCCCGAGAACTACGCTGCTCCCGAGGATGGCCTGCAGGTGCAGAGCATCGCGGTGGACAATCCGCGCGGGTATCCCGGCTGGCGGCTGTACTTCCTGCGGGAGAACTACGAGGAGGGCAACGAGCTGGCCTTCAGGATAATGGCCGTGCAGGCGCACTATCAGCGCAATCCGCATAATTACGACTTTCTGATGATCCGCGATCGGGGATTCTTTGTCCTGACCGCTTTGGCCATTCTATCGGATGCCCAGCTGCTGGAGGTTTGGCCTGGGTCTTTTGGAGGACCTAAGGGAGCACCCCCTGCGCACCATGGCCACCCTTTCGCTGGCCATGCACACGGTGGTGGTGAATCACCTGCTGGATGGCAATGATTCCTCGTCGATTGAAGTATCTACTCCGGATAAGTACGTTCCAGCGGCGGGAAGGCTGCGCAAGATCTACGTGCGACCAGAGGACTTTCTACCTGTTGTTTCTATAGATGGGATAAGTCACTCCCGCGTGGACACGCTGCTGGCCATCCGAGGAACTGTGAGCAGCGTGGGCGAGCCCAGTTATAGCCTCACCTGGCAGGCCTTCCGCTGCAGCCGCTGCCACATGGAGATGGCCATGCGCCAGCGCGGAACCTTCCAGCCGCGTCCCTACCAATGCAAGCGATCCGAGTGCGTGGCTCGCGAGGAGTTTCTACCTCTCCGGAGCTCTCCATACACGCGGCTCTCCATCAGACAGATCATCCGCCTGGAGGAGACGAGCCTAACTGCCATTCACGACTTCGAGAGCAGCCTGCCGGGTGAAATGGATGTGGAACTGCGTCATGATCTGGTGGATGCAGTGCGTGTGGGCCAGGAGATCATGGTAACTGGAGTGCTGAAGCTGCAGGAACTGGGCGAAGATGCAGAAGCCTCCAGCTCCAAGCAGATGCAGGCCTACCTAAAAGCGGTGAGCATTCGGGATGCCTCCTCCCTCAAGCGGGAGTTCAGCGAGCGGGACTTAGAAGCCATTGCGATGATCAACGGGGAGCAGAATAGCTTCAAGCTCCTCGTGCAGTCCATTGCCCCGGAGGTTTATGGACATGAGCTGCCCAAGGCCGCCTGTTTGCTCTCCCTGCTCGGCGGGCCATCCATCAATGTGCTCCTTGTGGGCGATCCCGGCATTGGCAAGACCAAGATCCTGCAGAGCTGCGCTCAGATCACGGAACGCGGTGCCCATGTGAGCGGAAAGCGGGGAGCCCAGCAGCTGGGAGTCACCTTCGCTGGGAGAAATAAGCGTGTGCTGCAAGCAGGCGCCTTGATGGCCGCCAGTGGAGGCGGCCACTGCACCTTGGACGATGTGGATAGGTTGGCCTCCAAGCAGGCGATACTCCTGCAGTGTCTGCAGTCGGGGGAGGTCAATGTGCCTCTCCCGGGCGCCTTTGCCTCCTTTCCCGCGAAACCTTCTGTGATTGCCTGCGCAAATCCTCAAAGAGGACAATACGACGAGGGACGCTACCTGCTGCAGAATATCAACATTTCGCCTGCCCTGCTAAGGGAGTTCCACCTGGTCTACGTGCTGTTAGACAAACCATCCGAGCGCGACATGTCCCTGACTGCCCATGTGAGAGCGCTTCATGCGGGAGCCAAAAAGCGGGCCAAGATCGCAGCTCGCTATGCTATGAAACCCAAGATGAGCGACTCCATGTGCGAGGCCACCTTTCGCTTTCCAGAGGCCTCGCGGGATGAGTCGTTGAAAACGGAGGACGACAACGACAGCGTGATGCAGCAGGATTACGATCTGGACAAGCGGCTGGAGCTGCTGGCCGAGGAGGGCGACCTGGATCTGCTGCCACCGATTTTAATCAAGAAGTTTTTGGCCTACGCGCGGCAGGAAGTGAATCCTTTGCTCAACGAGGAGGCAGGCAATGCCATCTCTGCGGTTCTTCCAGGAGCTCCAGGGCAGCAATGGCCAGGATGAAGGCGACTCCAGCCAGATTGGAGCAGGGTAAGTGCTTGGATTTAATTAAGTTATGGTTTTTATTTTACCTATAATAGTTCTAGTAATCTATAAGTTAAGATATTATTGGCCTATCGCATTAGCTTGAGAAAGGAGGAGACGGGGAGCTCCAGGAAGATGGCCAGCAGGAAGGAGCACAGGTAGGACACGGTCACCGTGAAGAAGATGAAGGCGAACTGTGGAATAATTGATATATAATTGATTTATAAAAACTCTAAACATAATAGAGCCCTGCATGTATGAATTCCGAATGAATTATTTGGAATTTTTTGTTTTATATGAATGAATTAATTCGAATTTTGAGTCTAATAGAATTGAATGAATTTGAATTTTAAGTTTAATAGAATTGAATGAATGAATGGCATGAATTCCGAAATAATTCAAACAACAATTTCTTTTGAAGAAGAAAGGGCCAAAATTTTTGTGGTTATATCTGCCTGAATTTCATTTACTAAGCAGTTAACATTGATTTGTTAAAAATTTTGCACTTTTTGTTCTCAAAAGAAAGCAAAAAAATCTGGCAAATTGAAAAAACGTATAAAAACTATTCATTCATTCATTTAATTCGAAATGAATTAGAAAAACATTTAATTTATTTCACATTAGAATTTTGAATTAAATTATGATAAAACAAAAATTGAAGTGCATATTTACTTTAGGGCGAAAAGGCTCTTTTTTTAAAATTTTGCTCTACGAGTAACGGGTATAAAAATAATATGGAGGACCACTCACCATCATGCCAGTGCCAAAATAAAGAGGCTCCCTCACGGTGGCCAAGACTATCCTGGCCACCAGGAGATGGACAATAAAGGCTCCATAGGTGAGGCGTCCCAGGATGCGGAAAATGGGCAGGCAGGCAAATTTACGAAAGATCCCTGTGGAAGAAAAAATACGGACCATTAAAAATACCCACATTCTAGACTCCCCAAAACAACCATACTTACAGCCCACCTTGCTGGCCATGCCCACGATGAAGATGCCCAGGCCAAAGCCCCAGATATTCCGCTGCAGACCAGCATACAAAGCACCCCAAATGGCCGACGGAGCCACATAGTAGTGCTGGAAGATGGGATGGGCGCTAAACAGCCAGAGGATGCCCACCGGGATTAGGGTGAACCAGAACAGCTGGAAGCTCTTCTGCTCGCGCAGCTTGTATTGCTTCAGCGACAACTGATCGTAGACCAAGGCGGCCAGGACTCCGCAGAAATAGCAGCCGAAGTTCATCAAGGACGAGGTGTAAAACTCGGTGAACTGACGATCTCCAATGAAAGAGTCCTTCTGGGTTCTGTTTGGCAGATAATAAGAAGGTTTTTAAACAAATTACAAGCTTTTAAAGCCAGTTAACTCACTGTGGAGTGGGTATAAAGATGGGATAATAGTCCATAACATAAGTGAGCACTGCGGGAACAGCCACAAAGATAGCCAGAGTTCCTGCATAAAGCTGCTTGCTCCATTTGGCAAAACGATGGCCCAGCATCAAGAGCACCAGGCTGAGCACAAAGGAATGCGTATCAGCGGCTAAATACCAACCTTGGAGAAGGCACTACATAGTGAAAATACAGATTTGGGTTTAACTAAACCTTTAAAGGAACCCCTCCCTTACTCACCCTCTCATCCGTTTTCACAAAATTGTTGATGTACAACAGATTGGTCCACCAGTTGCGCCGGCAGGCCAGCTGCTCCCTCTCAAAGATGTGCCGCCACAGGGGACCACCGGCATTCTCGAAGTACACACCACTCATCAGGAGGACAAAGGCATAGGGAACGGTCAACCGGATATAACGAAAGATATTGAACTTGACAAAGAGCTGAGCATACTGGGCAAAGCTCCAGGTCTCCTTTTTCGCCTGTAAAGCACGGGAAACAGCCAGCCAATTGATGGTTAGCAGCAAACCACTGATCACAAAGAAGGTGACGGTGATTAGGGATCCCGAAACTAGCAAGGTGCCCGCTGCCGTGTGAAGGAGTCGCTCTGGATCTTGGGGATTACTTATCGCACTCTCGTAAATCACCCAATTGGTGTGCGCAAAGATCACCATGAACATGGCAAAGAACTTGAAGCAGTCGAGGAATCTCAACTCGCGTCCGATCTTGCCAGTTGGCTCCTGGTTGAGGCGATACCAATTGCGGGCCACCGAAAAGGTGAGCAGCACCTGCTGGGCGGTGCTCTTGGGCGGCGTCTTGTAGTGGTCCCGCTCCTTGAGCATCTTGTCATGGCGGCCGCGCTTCAGGTGCAGATCCACCAGGCTGCCCAGGCCAGCTAGAATCACTAGAGCTCCCAAAATGCCGCAGAAAGTAAGGTTCCAAGCATCTGAGGAGGAAAAGGAAGTTGATATGATACTAAAAAAAATTCCATATAAAATGGGATCAATTCTACGTTATTTCATGTCAAATTTATGATTCAAACATATCAAAATGATATTTTAGCATTTCATATAAAATACCAAATTTAGTATTTTTTAAGAATTAATATCGATATGATATTTGTTCATATCAAAATGATATGAAAAAATTTTTCATTTAAATTAAATAGCCGATATAATTAGTGACCAAGCGCATGATTCAATCATATTAAAATGATCTTCTTATGATGTCCTATAAAATACCAAATATATTTTTTGAACCAAATAATGTAAAGTAAGATAAAAATGATCTTTATTCATATCGAAATGATATGAAGAACTTGATCTTTAAATAATATAAAATTGACCAGCGCATATCAATCTGATCTTTTGTGTAAGATGTTACGATTCCTTGACCTCCAAACTCACCTTCTTCCACCTGGCGACCCGCCTGATCGCAGTACTCCACCACGCTCTTGGCCATCAGCCCGAATCCTCGACGCTGCAACCGCCAATTCAGGCAGGCATTCGTCAATCGCTGGTGCCGCTGGCGATTGGTCGCCTCCATCGAGAACAAGTCCAGATACACGTTCACCTGCCGAGCAAAAATCGACCATGGGGCTATCATAAAAATTCCCAAACAACCAAAACGTCAGGCCCCTGGCCTTGAAAGAAATGAGTGTCATTTGATTTGATTGAATTGGATCGGATTTCGCTGTTTCACCGCCGCCCATTTCCATTTTTGGCCAACGCCTTTGTTTACTCGTAAATATCGTAAATGCATTGTTGATGGCGACTGCATCAATGGCATCGCCACACCATCCCCATTCCGTTCCCATTGCCCAGCTATTCGCTGTTTAATCAGCGGATTTTCCGGCTGTAATTTATGCAATATTTATAGGTAATGAAGATAGAGATCACGCATTTAGCCAGAGGCGTCTGGAAAGGGGGCTCTTTTGAAAGTAAGACATTTTATGTTTATTCTGGGAATTTACTTTATCTTTAAGAAGCCCTTGAAATTTACAACTTTCAAAAAAAAGGCGTAAACCTGTTTGTACATTTTGTATAAGCTAAAGGAGTTAATATAAACAATTTTGTCTTTAGTTTGGAAAACATGTTTTTTAAAGCTGCGACAAGTTAAACAAAAGCTATTCCTAAAAATACTCATAAATAACTACATAGTTCGTTTATATGATATCTTTATGTTACTGTAGGTAATAGTAACAAAATAATACAAAAATTTAGAATGTTTGAAATCAAATTAATCGTGAAGATATTATAAATCTGATCAAATTTTAAAACGTACAACAATTTTTTTTTTGGAAAACATGTTTTTTAAAGTTGCGACAAGCTGAAAAAAAGTTATTCCTGTAAACACTCATATTTAACTACATAGTTTGTTTTTATGATATCTTTAAAATATTAAGTTCCTATAGTAACAAAATAATAGGAAAATACAAAAAGTTTAATATCAAATTAATCGTCAAGATATTTTAAACCTGAACCACAAATGAAACTACGGTTGTAGATATCTCTTTAAAAAAATTAAAGTTAAAACGTATCTTTTCTACAATTTAAGACCCCCTTTCATAACCCCCTTAGACGCCGCCCCTGGGCAGTTAATCTGCAGCTCACGCAGAGTGCGAGTTGAATAAACTTTTGACTGTTATCCCGGCTTCTGTGCCCGATGATTGTTGATTGACCATTACGGGCGACGCCTCGCCATCAGCGATGGATGATGGGTTTTGAAATATTAATCTTATCTAGCGGCGTGTTTTGATTAAATCGATCGTTGGCCGCAGCTGAATCGCCGCCAATAAGGTGACACCTCGCCATCAGCGATGGATGATGGGTTTTGAAATATCTGAATCTGTATCTCCAGAGCGGCGTGTTCGAAGATTGAATTAAATCGATCGTTGGCCGCAGCTGAATCGCCGCCAATAAGGTGACACCTTCGTCGAGTGGCCTTCTTACCTTTGCATTTTCCGACAGCAGGCCGGCCTGCAGGGCCTCCAATTCACTCTCATCCAATCCGGCCAGAGAAGCCTCACATTCGCGCAGGCAGAGGCCAAAGTAGAGCTGCCTGTGATCGAAGTGATGGCGATCGTACTGCGAAATCTCGGCAATGGCCCGCCAACTGGCCACCGAGTCATCCGGCTGGACTTCGGCTCGAACGAAGCAGTAGGTGGAACCCTGGCCATCGAACTCCTGGAGGCAGCGATCGTAGTCATCCAAGTCGTACAGCGGCGGCATCTCATAGAACTGCGTCACTGCGAAAGGAGGAAGTTGGAAGAGAAAAAACACAGATCAAGAAACCATCATCAGTCGAATCAGATGGATGAATCAACAGCTCATTAAGTGGCAAACTAGTTTTCAGATCCTTTTTTCGCTAGAACCCGGCAATTCCCGGGTTCAATGGCTGTTAACTCGAGTGAAAGGAAACTCGTTTCCTTGGGACCAACTTGAACTTGTTTGGCATTTGCATTTAAGCCTGCAGCAGCAGCAGTATCTTTATCTTTATTCCGATTGAGGCAAATAATGAAATGTAATTGTTTTCGTGCCTCAATCTCTTGTCAAATTCCAGACACTTTGGCTGAGTTAATTGTTTGTCAAATCAAACTGCTCCGTCATCGAAGTCTCGAGAGGTTTTTGTGCCTCCCGATTTGGAAGAGGGGAACTTTTGAACCATTCAACAACTGAACACGCAAATGGGTGGATCAGGTGCATTTTTAGGGTAATACCAACTTTGGCAAAGTGTTCTATAGTTATATCGATTGACAAGCATAACATGCAATCTAAAACAAATGCATAATGGATTATGTGATTTTTTGTGGCATTTGATGGGTTAGAACTTCCCCCCTTTTTCAATAGGAAGCACGGAAAACGCTTATTCAAGCTAAATTAATCATAGTCTTTAAGTGATTTGTGGTTTTACAAATATTTTACATCGTTCAGCACTCTTGACTTTTGATAAATAGAATATTTATACTTATATCTTTCAAGTGACTGTATAATGGAGTCCTAACTATCCGAAATATTTTTAATTTCTTAGCAAACTTATTCTTATGAAACTCTGTCTTATTCAACATCTATTAGAACTTCTTTTATAGGCCCATAAATCAAATTTATACGGAACATATCCACTTACTGTTCAATTGAAAGCATTGCGCAGCCGTTAAAATCGCCGCTAAAATCACGATGTGAAGCATCATCGTCGTGTGGGATGGATGTATCGAATCGCCGGATCGTAATGCACCCTCTAATTGATTGACTTTGAAAGACTCTTGGCACTTTCGTCACCCGATCGATCCAATCCAATCAAATGCAACGCCAGCGCACCAATAACAATAAGAAGCGGCGGAATTTCATCAACCGACGCGAAGTAAAACAAAAAAACGGGCAAAGCAGATGACCAGACCCAGGGGCTTCTGCTGTCCGGCCAATGCCAATGTTAGGAAATGCACTTTTGGCTCAAAAAACGAAACCAAACTGAATTGAACTAAACCGATCCGATCCGAACAGCTAATGAACCGTTTGCGCCAACGTGCCAGGCGAGAATGAAACATATGCGTGCGGCTGAGCCCTCTGGATGGGAATCGGAATGGAAATGGAAATGGCTATGGGATGAGTCGCTGCCGCAGCTTCAGTTTCAGCCTCTGTCGATGCAGTTGCTGTAATGATGATGGGTTTCAAAACTCCCCCCGAGAAATGCGTTGGTTTCCGAAAAATAAAACAAAACAAAACAAAAAGCAAGAGCAAAAATGCGTTGGAACATGTTCGATGCTGGGCGCACACTTTAAGTCGCCCACATGCAACTGATTTATGTTTACATTTTCGTTGCTTTCCGGGGCTTTCGGCCAAGTTAGTAGTTATTAGGCATGACCATCTGGGCTTACGTCTTACAAAACCCTAAATGTGTTCTCTGGCAAAACTAGTTTTTCGGCAAATATGGCGATATGTTATCATGGTTCTGAAAAGAATTGTTTACCAACGGCGTAAATTATGACGAAAACAAGATGCGAAATTAATTGGGGGTCAAGAAGATAAGTCCCACTTGCGGCCTCGGGCCCAAAAAGCAAAGAATAAATGAAGACACGTTTTCAAGAATTTTAGGCAAAAGGGCAAAAATCAAAAGACTTAGGCAACAAACTTGAGTTACATTTTTGGGCCCAACAACATTATTAAATATTATTATATAAGATTAACTTTCTTTGTTATAAGTAGACATTGGATTACACGGAAAATCGTATTTTAAAAATTTGATTCTTAGCGATCTATTGATTAGATTTAAGTTTAATAGAATTTTGCTTATTTGAAAAATTATTTTGTCTTAACTAAGTTTGAATGTTAGGAATACAGTGTTGTAAATAATCTGATGTCTAGTTTTAAGTATTTATTGTTTTTTTTAAATTTCTTTATGATTTATTTATATTAAATTTGCTTATAAAATAGCTCTTACATTAGTAACTTTTCTCTTTATTTCTAGCCAACTCCTTGGGCTGATTCACCTGTCGCAGGCACGTGCTCGTCTGGATTTGTCCCACGTGGTCTGCACCCAACACGTGCGCGATGTGATCGCCCTGCTCACCGAGAGCATCACCCAGACCAGCCTCAAGATGGATTCCATTGGATCCGGAACTCGAGGAGGTGGTGGCGGCGGTGGTGGAAAGACTGCCCAACTGCGCAACTTTGTGCAATTGGCGCAAAAACGCTCGGCGGCATTGGGACGTCGCATCTTCGACCTGGAGGAGCTGAAGGAGATCGCAACGCGGGCTGGCATCTTGACCGGCTTTAGCCAGCTGGTGGAAATGGCCAGCTTGGGCGGCTATTTGCTCATGAAGGGCGCAAACATGTACGAAGTGGTTCCGGACTAGGCAAATGACAAATGAACGGGTAAATATTTGCCAAGCGTCTGTGGTTTTCTTTCCTGTTAACTAGAAGTTAAGTGGTGACTTAAAAATGAGCCAAAAAATAATTATAAATAACTATTACGGAAAAAACGGTAATGATTAATACTTTATGACTTTATATATCAAATAGAAATAATTGATCAATACCAAATAGTTTGCTTATCAATATATAAGCATACTTTAGGGAGCCATACTAGTTTTATTTCGTCACTACACTGCGTTTGAAAAGTGTTCTTCTTCATACACAAAAAAAGTTTAGCTTTATAACATTTAAGAATTTAAATTAGTTAAGATCTGTTCATAAAGAGACATTTGGAAAGTCTATTGTATAATGAAATCTTTCTCCTTTTCATACTATACTTTATTATTATACTTATAATTCCAACAGACCAAACCCCCAAATACATATGAATACTTTCCATAATTGGTTTCATTTAATACTTTATTTTCTTGTATCATAAAATTAGATATAATGTAATAAGTTTTTATAAATAAATACACAAAACATTTGTATTCGTTAGAAGTGTTAATCGTTCTTCGTTCCTCGCTCGTCCTTACGTTCTGGGTATTCTAAAGTTTATGTCTTGCTCGCTTTGAATGCTTTGTTTCTGTAGTCAGTAGTAACTATTTGAATGACCCTCGTATACGTCGTATACCAGAGCTGAGAGGGGGCCTTAGATCTAGGTGGTTTATCGGTTATTAGAGCTATTTTTACCGTGCCTGGAAATCCTATTCGACTATTTACAATATTGCTAGTGAATGTAATGTAATATTTGGCTTATACTTTTGCTACCCCGCTACGTTGCTCGTTTAAAACTTATGTTCTACATACACTGGCGCATATATATTTAGGGATTTTACAATCGAGATATTTCTGTGTGTGTTTTGGTTAGTTCCGAATTAGGGCTAGGATCGGTTAGAATAATTGAGATTAATACAATACATGCCAATTTTGCAATCGTTTTAGGCTAATCAGTCTAAATAAATCGATGCGAACGCCAAACGCGCAAGCGAGAACGAAAATTTCTCTAATTTTCTGTCTAAATATTTCAATCTAAAATCAAGCTAATCCTTAATCTAAGCTGCGTCATTTCCATAGTGCGGTGTTTAGTTCAAGAATATTGCACAAATGTTTTTAATTGTCAAGCTGGGATGAATTGGGCTAACCGGAATGCATTGCCTATTGCATTGAGTCATGTTTTGTATTGGGTGGGTTGATTTTAATGCTCAAACAAAAAAAAATTAATATCCTATGGGCTAAAAAAAATCGATGCCTAATTCTAAGCACTTTTAACTTGCATTATTTATAGGTTTTCAACATTTTTCCATGCATTTAGAGTTTATAATTGGGATCTAAAGGGGCCATAAAAATATAGTAAGGATGTACATCAACCTAGCCTCATTTTCCCTAAGCTTTGACCATTCAAACTAAAGATCTGCAAGACTAAGATGCTTAGAACTAGGCATAAAAAACAAACAAAATAATAACCTAACCACCCTGTTGTTTGTTTTATAACCTATGTCGTGTGCTTTGTACTTTCAAAACTGTTGGAGACAGAGAGTAGACGTGACGAGAACTAAATAAAGCTGAAAACTTTGCACTTGGCGTTACCCACTAGCTATTAGAACTAAGCCACAAATAAATATCAATAAATATTTCCGCTAAATAGACTGTATAGACTGGAGACCCTAACCCTCCGAGCGGAAAGTGAGATTGAAGGTGCGCAGTTCCATGGGCTCCAGACTGATCTCGGCCAGGGATCGGATGTGGAAGCTATCCCTCGTCGCCTTCTGCTCCGTCCCCGTCAAGCTGGTGGCCTCGATGGTGTGCAGACTGAGCCGACCCAGCTGCACATTGCCCAATCCCTTGCTGGACAGCGGACACACGGCCTCCATGGACAGATCCCGGCCAGCACTCACGCTGCAATCGAATCCCTGGCGATGCAGGACCAGCAGCGCCGAGGCGGACGGAAACAGCTGCAGCTCGGGATCGGACAGGGTGCGCAGGGTGGTCAGATGGACGTCGCAGGGCAGCGCTCCCTTGGGCAGCAGCCTGACCAAAGGCAGCAAGCCTGCCGAGAAAGTTCCGGCTGCTCCAGGCTGCTCACAAAGTACAGATTCGGTGGGTAACGCAACGCGTTGGCCAGCTGCTGAGCCTGCTGGCTGAGAACCTTGTAGCTGGGCGGTTGGGTCACCTGCTGACCACCAGGCAGATCCTCCACGAGTAGCCAGAACTTGTGCCGCGTCAGCCGGCTGTCCACGACGCCCTCGCCCATCCCACGATAATCGTCGTACAGGGTGCGCCGGTCCAGCATTACCTCCAGCTGGCCGGGCTCATAGCTCGCGGCTCCTTGGGCATGGGTGGTCAGCAGGGTGAGCCGGAGACGGGTGTCCTGGATAAAGGCGCCCGAGGTGATGGGGAAGTAGTTGCCCTCGATGCCAATGGCCGGCACTTTGATGCGTCTGAAAAGGGGGGTTAAATTTAGTATTTGATTTCATTCATGCACACAAAAAAATTTGCTTGGTAAAAATGACCAATGAAGATAGTTCAGTAACAATAAACAATAGTACTTTAGCAATAAAAAGAGTCTTCCGTTAAACTACTATTAAAATAGTTACGGTTACGGGATGTGTGTATTTTGTTTTTGTACTTTGTAACTATTTTAAATAGTTGTTTAACTATGAACAGTAGTTACTTTAACGTATAAAATATAAATAATTGTAAATTTACTATAAAAATAGTAAGTTAACTACAATTTATGGTCTGGGTTTTTTTTACAGTTGCGTAACTATTTTTTATAGTAACCCTTACGTTTACGTATTGCATAATAATAACTATTTTTGTGGTTGGGGACTGTTTGACAACTATTACAGTTGATTTTACCAAGTTTATTTTTTGTGTGTGGATTTCCTTAAATCCCCAACTTACTCGTGATATTGGAAGCCATTCTGATCGCTGTAGAAGATGGGCAGCTCGGGCATGGTGGCCGCATCGGCTGGCTCCTTCAGCGGATCCCGCTGCAGCGGCACCTGGGCAATATTATCTATGTTGGTCACCAGACGCATGAACAGCTCAGTCTCCCGATTTTTCGGTGGCGGCTCAAAGTCTATATCATTTTCCACATATATAGCAGCATCCAAATGAGTCCGGGTATTGAAGATGCGCACTGTGTGGGCCAAGAAGGGTCCGTAGATCACCGTCACATCGCTGGCAATCGGGCCCGAGGTAATGATAATCCGCATATCCGTGTAGCCCTCGAGCACCTCCTTCTCGGCCTCGCTCTGCTCGGGATCGGTCTTGAAGAGATAGGCACCCGAGTGGAACTGGGCACTGCGATAGGCGGCGAACTTGATGTTGCACTGCAGCGGCTTGAGCAGCTCCTTCTTCTGGTTCTTGCGCGTGATGGTCTTGAGGAAGCCACTCTTCTCGTCGAACAGCAGGCGCATGTGGGGATTCTCCAACTGGATGTCGCCTGTATAGTGAATATTATATTAAATAACACGAGAAAACGCTATAGTTGGAGTTGGAGATAAGCAAGCAGCAAAGCAACTGCTTGCACTGCTTGCATTTCTTTATTTGCTCATAACTTTTTAATGAAAGGTCCGATTTAAAAAATTTCCTCTACATTTCTACAATTGCTTTTGTACTTTTCAAAAATCTTTAAAGATGTGGCCGCCAGACACATTTTAAAATTGTTTAAGGCGTGGCACTTGTGCTGCGCAGGAACCTCAAGCTACTAGCTTAAAGCCAATCTTCTAGCTTTTATAGTTTCCGAGATCTCAACGTTCATACGGACGGACAGACGGACGAACGGACATGGCTAGATTGACTACTTTATAGGGTCGGAAAAATATTTATAAAGGCTACAATAAACTCACCCGCTGGCTTTCCGCGTGCCTCGAAAACCGGAGCTGGCGAGGATTCAGCTTCGATTTCAGGCGGACTTACGGCTGCCGCCGCCGCCTCCGTGCAGTCATCGCAGTAGATGGTGGCTATGTTCCGCTTGAAGTTGACCTCGTCCACCTGAACGCGATAGGTGCTCAAGGACAAGGGCTCCAGTTCGGCCACAAACATGACCTCGAATTGCCGTGTCGAGGTGCGTATGCGTCCCATAGTCCCCGATACGGATGTGCCCAGACCCTGTTCATAGGTATCCGTGATGTTCCACACCGGATTGATCTGGATGTGACTCAGCTCCACGCCCTTGTCGTTGAGTATCTTCACGTTGGGATGCAGGACGCGCAGAGTGACGATCTCGAGACGCTTCTGGGCCAGTGAATTGTACAGGACAAAGCTGCCCACCGATCCCGAGGAAGCTGGCGATCCACCTGCCCCACCCTCACCCGCCGAAACAGTGGGCGTGGACTCGTCTCCATTGGCCATCTGGATGGGCATCTTCCGGGGCAGCTTATTGAAGTTATCCCGCTCGAATTCGCTGAGCAGAAAGCCGTGATGTCGCGGCTGACCCTTCTGTACGAGGAGTTCCAGGCAGGATTCCTGCATCTTGACCATGTTCTGGGTGCTCTCGAACAGGCGCATCGCGTAGTCCCGCATCACGGCCGCCTTGGAGGTGCCGGTGATGGCATCGTGGTGCTGGAAGAGACCCAAATTCCGCCTGGCATTGATGATTAGCTCGTAGTTCTTCTCGTAGATCTTGATCGCATTCTCCCGCTTCGCCTGGCGCGCCGTATTGTAGGCCAGCGTGAAGACAATCTCGGCGGAACGCAGCTGGTGTTCCAACTCCGAGCTGAGAAGCTTATAGAAGGGTCGTGTGGTGAAGTAACCCGACCAGTAGGCAGGTCTGCCCTCCGAGAAGATGTCCGAGTAGACGAAGAAATCACCCTTGAAGCTGGGAAAGCCCGGCGATCGGTCCTTCATCCTCTCCTTGATGGCCTCGAAGTAATCACTGGGCGTCCCGAAACGGATATCCGCATTGTAGAGCCGCCGATTGGCCATGATGTGATCGATGAGCTTCTTGTAGTTCTGATACTGCTGGTCCACCTCGCGATCCTTGTTGTACCGGAAGTCATCGCCCACCGGAATGAGCGCCACGTTGTGCGGAAATAGAGAGGCTGTCCGCGCATATTGCTCTAGTAACAACTGGGCTTTGGACTCCAGATTGTCGTCCGTGATGAACTGCGCCTTCACCGAGTACTCGGTGTATTCCCCAGGAATCTTGCGGAAATCGAAATTCAGACAGATGAAGGGATGCGGGCCGCAGGAGCCCTTGATCGAGTAGATATCGAAGGGCATGTTGTGGGTGAGCAGGCTCCCGGTTTCGCTCTCCTTCTGGCCACTCCTTCCCCTCCAGTAGGGCTTCCAGATGAAGTCACCCGACTGCTGGCGGGCGAACCACTGCTTCCAGGCGTAGTGAATCCTCTGGATGATGGCGCCCTCGAAATTCGCACCCGAGAGAAGATACGGCACCGTGCTGCCATGGCCAAAGGGATCGATGGACCAGCCCACCTTGGGCGTCACATTCAGGTTGTTCTTCAGCCACTGATGACCCTCGATGAGCTGATCCAGCATGGGGTAGATGTGCACATTGGCCTCATCGGTCATCACCCAACCGCCGGTGGTGATCTCGATGCGACCGGAGTCGATTAGTCGCCTAAGGGCCCGCTGCTTGGTGGGATGTGCCTGGTCCCACCACAGCTGCAGGAAACTGATCTCCGACCAGATGAACGTCATGTCCGTGTACTCTTGCATTTTCGTGACCAGCAGATTGAGGATCTGCCGAGAGTCCGACTGGAAGTAATTGGTGAAAGTCTTCAGCCAGCCGGGATCGTTGTGCGAATGCGGCACCACTATGATCTTCAGTGGCGGCCGCTGCTTGTCCTTCTTCTGGGCATCGAAGCGCTCCTCGAAGCCGCGATCCCAGTACTCCTTGGAGCGCATCCATTCGGGCTGGGGGAAAAAAAGAGATAGTAAAAAGGCTATCTAAAGAGCATTGTAGTTAGGGTTTGAAAAATATCGACAGTTTCCTTTTCTCTATATTTCATTTGTGTTTTCCCTTCAAAACATCAATATTATCGAATCGATATTGTCAAAAAATCGAAAATATCGATCATTTTATATTTAATTGGTGTTTTCTCTTCGAAACATCGATATTATCGAATCGACATTGTCAAAATATCGAAAATATCGATACTTTTATATTTCTCTACAATTTATTGGAGTTTTCCCTTCAAAAGATCGATATAATCGAAAAGACATTGTCAAAATAACGAAAATATCGATCATTTTATATTTCTCTATATTTTATTAATGTTTTCCATTTAATACATCGATATTATCGAATCGATATTGTCATAATATCGAAAATATCGATAAGTTTCAAGCTCTAATTGTAGTGCTTCTTCCTCTCACCTGAAAGTCGAACTTGCTGTGCTCCTCGCTGGCGGTTATGTTCGTGTTGCTCTGGAGCAGCTCGTAGCACTTGTCGCCCCATTTGCTGTTGGCGTACTGCTCCTCATCCTCCTGCTCCTTCGATTGCACCTCCGGAGATCCCGATGCTGGCGCCGCCGCCTTTGTTTCCGACGATCTCTTCTGGCTGGAGATGATGCCCGTGTGCAGCTTCTGTTGGTGGGCCAGTGAAGAGGAGCCTCCTCCGCTAATGCTGAAACCGGTTAGGCCATTGAGCGGTGATCCCCGCAACGCCGCCGATGGAGCACCCGTCTCCGAAATGGGCGTCGGATTGGGCTGGCCAATGGAGATGTAGTACAGGCAGAGCAGGATCGTCACAAATGCCGATAGCAGGCCGATGCAGCGCGCCGATCCGCGGCGGAAGAGCTTGAATGACATCCTGGTCAGTGGACTGCGTTTGCCGGTCGCCGGCTGGAATTCCCCGGGATGATCTGGCTGCTGGGCTTCTTCTTCGTTAATTGGACTGTGTTCTACATCTGAAAAAAATATGAGAATCATTTTTAGAGGTACAGAAAATATTGTTTATAATATTTAGAAAATTAAAAAAATCTTAGATATATTTTAAAGCAAAAAGTCACAAAGCATTCCTGCGGTCACACGCCTATCTTGCATTGGGCACACGTCTATTCTTCTTTGTATCGCAACCAGCTCCTAAAAACCCTTCATAAAATATCACAAAATTCAATCCTTTTCTTTATCCCGCAGCACACTGCTTTTAATCCAAAATAACTATCATTTAAGCCGTTTATGCATGCAGAAAACATGAAAAAAATACGTAGATTCTGCCACATCCATTGCAAACTTAATCCGGCTTCTGATTTTATTTTTCCCTTTCCTCGGTAATCCTGTCTGGGCTGCTGTCCTTGCCGCAAGAGCGTTTGAATATTTTATACGGAAGAGGGCAGCAAGTTTAGTGGAGAATTTAATTAAACCATAACAAGGACGAAGGACGAGGGAGGGGCCGGAAAATGCCTGGGGCCTGGTGTAAGGAATGCATAAATGCTTGTCAAGGATAAGTAAAATCCTAAGCAAGGTGCTTGTATGCTTTTCCAAATTAAAACGAGACCTTAATTAAAAAGGAACTTCGATTTGCCCAGCGTTTACTAACAAATGTCAAAGCCATTTAAATTTGAGATCATAAAAATAAGAGAAAAATAAATTCCGCACCTACAAGTGTTTGCCATAAACCTCCCATAGTTCGTGTTTAAGTTCAAAGTTCAGCACAGCAAACGTCAGCACATCAGAAAATACCCAAGCACGCAAGTCAAACTAACTAAACGAACTATGCAAACTGAAAACTCAATCAAAAACTCTTCACATGTTCGTAGGAGAACTTTTATGCAATGATGAAATTATTGCATAGTTTGCCACAAACTTTTAGTGCCCATAACGCCGGAGCTTCGAACTCCTTAAAACCCAGGGCCAACCCACAAATTAATAGTCTTCACAAAAAACAAATGCACAATTTTGCACTACTGCACATGATTTATTCGCTTTTATTTGCCATTGGCCATAATTTAGTCTTTTTTATTTCTGTTCGACACGCAGGGAAAACATTAACTCCTGCCGGCGGAACGCTGAATTCAATTTAATTAAAATTTAAAAGCATTTAAGGTCCAACGAGCAGCGTTGCAGCTCCATTCAAATGTTTCAGTTGGCTAGAAAAGGGGGAAAATCAGGGGCTCGGGTCTCTATGCTAATCAGCGGGCATTAACTGATGTTGCCACAAGCCACCACCTGTCACCCAGCGGAACCCCACCACATAACCCTCCTCAAACCAACCGCTCTTATGGTAATTTAAGCGTTTCCCCCCCGCCATTTCCCCAAGAGCCTCATTCATTTCTCCTCTTTTGCTCCACAGAGAAATGCGGCAAATGTGCTATAAAAGCAGAAAAAAAGAAACCGAGAAACCAAAGCTTAAGCTCTCTAGAAACGCTCAAAGGGGCGACGATGCTGCAGATTCTAAGGGAACCCCGGCGCTTTGAGATCTTTGAGATACTGCAAAACTTCTCTTCACCCAACAATTCCCAACAAAGTTTGCCTCAATTATTTCAATTAGTCGAATATTTTCACTTCCTTCCGACCAAGGAGCTTAATAACTTCCTGAAAGAGGCAACCGAAGAAGCCGGGCGTCAACTGCTCCGGGCATCGTGTCCTTGACCCCCATCAAAATGTATTGCGAGCAAATTTATCCAGCATTAGTGCACGGAAAAATACAAGTCTTTATAGAGCTTAGAAAAAATAAATAAATTTATGACAGTCAGAAAAAAAGAATTTGTAGAAATGTTAAAATAAGAACTAAAATCTTTATGCTTTTAAAGTAAACTAAATTTCAAATTACGATTTACAAAATAAGTATTAAATAGAAATAAGTTTAAAAAAGAATTCCTACCTAGTTTATAAAATATCATCATAATTTAGTTAGTATTAGCTGCTTTTAATATATTAGCTTATTATTATGATGATAATGAATATAACATAATAATGAATACAACAAATTCCTTTGTTTTTTCTGTGTAACTATTTAAGCGAAATGTTTAGAAAAATAGAAACGAGTGGTACGAACTGCTGTCATCACGAATGTTGGCAGGAGTTTTCTGGCAAATTTGATTCCATTGCAAATTGCACTTTGTCAACCTTTTTGTGCGCTCCAAATGGACGACAACTTTCATCTGGGAGTCAACACGTACGTATAGCATCCTTCGGTTTCCTTTGACGTGTTATCCCCTTTTTTTTCTGTGGCTGCTTCCCGTCACTTTTCTCCTTCTGCACAATATAATTTCGAGTTGGAAAATGATTTTGTTTTTTTTCTGTTTCCTTAGTTTCCTCTTTTTTTCCTATTTCTAATTGTGGGTGTGCGTGTTTTCTATCCCTCAACGTACAGAAGGAAACCCAACTCAAAAAGTCAGCTTTGCTGCTATCCTAGTTCCTTTTCGTCCTTGCTCCTTTGCTCCTTTGCCCCTTGACCCCTTGAAGTCCCTCTGAGGAAGCTTAATTTCGTTTGGAGTTGCAACTTGGAGCGCCCATGTGAATGTTTTCAATGCAAATGGATATTTTTGCTACCCTGTTCTGAGAAAAAGTAAAGGGTATATGGGTTACTTACTTAATATAAACCCTTTAAAGTTTAAACCGAATACGAATACCTTCATAACTTTCATACTTCGAAGTTCTATGCATTTATTACTCACATAAAAGAAACTAAAAGGTATCTGCTAGTCGCATCGCTTGATTTAAATAATATCTACATTTTGTTATGATGTATTGGTTGGTTCGGTTGCTTTTCTTTGTGCTCTTGCCAACCAAATTTGTAGTTTTGTGTATGGAAAACTTTTCTGAAAGCCCTCCGAATCAATTGTAAACTTTGCTGTTAGCTATTTTCCTGCATTTTTCTTTTTTTTTCAATGGGAGTTGAAGTTTTGTATTGTTGTTATTCAATTTCATAATACTTTTCCAATTGAATTTTAGCTAACAGAAACTTTCGCACAATTGAAAGGGGAAACAAATTTGTCGCTTTTTTGTTTTAATTAAAACTAGGAATATAATCACAATTGCGACACCTTTAAAAGTAATTTCCTTTTAATTAAAACTTTCGGGCAAAAAGTTAATTGAAAGTCATTGCAGTCACCTAAGGAAGTCGAAAAAGAAGGCCAAGAAAGAAACCCAAGAAACAGAAGGCAGAAAAGTGTGAACGTAAATTCAGTTCAAAAATGGTAAACGTTGTTGGGAGGCCAAAAAAAACAACAAGAACAATAGTTTGCATAAATGGCACGGAAATTGCAGCTGCAGCTGAAGGCAAGACGACAAAAAAAGCCCTTTCCACGGAGCCTCAACAAACTTAAAACGGTTAAAAAACTGTTTTCTTAGCGGCAAACGCAAAAAGTTCCCCAAAAAATAACCAAGAAAAAAGAAAGGGAAAAAATTGAGCAGGAAAAGTCGAATTTGGTATACACTTTAAATAGTTATTACTTATGGTAGCTATAGGAGAAATTACTGATAGGAAAAATCAACATAAATATTGCTAAAACATATCCACTTAGGTTTATACTGTAATATCTTGAATATAATTTAAATATCTTTAAGTTTTGGAACTTTAAAAAGTGCAAAACATTACAAACTTTCTACCATAGCTAAAACACCCTTCTGCGAGGGTATGGAAACACAAATTTCAACTCTGACTTTGGACTTTGGGAGTGGCAGCTGAGGTTCCCCATGCTCCCTTTTTGCCGATGTCTGAAAATGGGCAATACAAGAGCTCCGCCGAGGGCAGGGAGTTTAGGGGGGTCCCAGAACTTTACAAAGAGTTCATGCTTTTTTAATTAAAGAAACTAGCGTTGCAGCAAAGCGCCAAACCGAACGGGGCAAGAAGCTCCGCCAAAGGGGGTGAACAACCAGTTATGGCAATTTTCCGGGGCAGATGAGCATGAGTAATGCGCCGGTTAAGCCGCCAGTAGAGCGTGTGGGTTTGGCATGTGCCCGCAACACATAATCGTATGAGGCTCCAAAAAAATAAAAAGAGAAGCAAAATAACTTGAGACCATCCGGGCCAAGTTGGGCCAAACTATAGTGGGTCATTAGCATAGTCAGCGGAGCAAAAGCAAAAACCAAAAACCAAAAACAGGCCTAAGAATTATGAGAATTTTCGGGGTGTGGCGACATATGGAGGGCAATTACCAGAGGAAGTTGTCAAGATCTAGCGAAAGATGTAACAGAAAAGTGATTATAATTATCAAGATTGTTCCACTTTTCATTTTTTTTTACTTCATAATTGCATTTTAACCATCAAAAGATGAATAGCTGTGAATTAGGCCTACTTGGCCTGCATAATTGAACTAGCAATTAAGTTTATTTAAAAATTTAAGGGCTTAGACTAAACAACAAGGAATTTTTTTAACAACACTTTCTATCTTTTCTATATGTGCAATTATTTTAAAAGTATTCTAACAATTTAAAAAAAAAATTTTAATTTAATAATCATAATAATAATTTTTATATGGAACTTATTTAAACCTAAATATTTACCTCCCTTTAAAATTATCTTTAAAAGGTACCTACAAATGACAAATAAAAATATTACCTTTATGTTGGAAGCCTCATTAAAACCTCCTCGTTGCCTTCTCCTTAAGATTTATGCTTTTATGTTTTATGTTTTACAACCCATAAAACAAAGTCGCTCCCCACATATCACACCTTTCCCGAGACTCACCCACTCGACGACCACAATTGAGTAAATGGAACCAAAGCAAACAAAACAAAACAAAAAATCGGGGAAAAAGAAAAACAGAACTCCCGCTGCACTGGAGGCCCCATGTCAATGGCAAACCAACGAAGCGAGCGAGGAAATTTTTGGAGAGAAGGGAGAATACCTATGGAACTGGATGCCGTTAGACAAGTAGAACTTTTCAAGCTGGCCCCGACGAATTCACAGTTACTCACTTATGCAGGGACGCCATTCGTGACATATGGACAAATGGG